AATTATACGTTTGATTGCGCGTTACACTGTTGAAGATATGATTCTGTGTCGTGCCGCGCGAAAACTACAAATGACTGAACAAATTTTGGGCAGCACTGATGATATTAGTAAGTTAGTTTTCTCAAGTAACACTTGTCATTTGAAAGTATTAAGCCCGTCTTTTACCTGTAGTGGAAGAAAATTAGGCTATAGATGGATAGAAAATGACCTGTAGTACGGGAATTCGACTAAATTATGCAAATTTTTCAGAAAAAGACCTCACAGCTGCAGAAATCTCGGACATAATTGTGAAAGGTATGAGTCGCCTTCATGATGAAACGACAGCCCTAGAACTATTGGATATGGAAGCCATCGAGAGACTGCTTGGCAAAACTGATGAAAATGGACACTGGGTTATCGTAAGGGAGAAGGATGAACGAGAGGTTATTGTTTGGATCTTTCGTTGACGAAATTAACAAAAATATCTGAAATCTTTTTTTAAAATTCTTTTTTTATTCTTTTTTTTGAAATCCTTTTTGAACCTTTTTTTAAAATCTTTTTTGAACTTTTTCTTAAATTCATTTCTGAATCCTTTTCTAATCGTTTTTTTCTTTTAAATCCTTTTTTCCTCTTTGTCTTCTCTTCACCCTATTCTTATGCTCGCTAATCCTTCAATCATGGCTTTTTCCTTTCCTCCTTCCCTCCATCCACATCCTTTCCCACTGAACACTGTGACCGTCGTACTGACGAGGTCCTGTCGGGAGCTAAGACGTATATGACTTAATGGATCGAAACGCCTTATCTCACTCTTGCCTTCTTTCCTCGTATTGTTCCCCCTTCTCTCTGTGTATTCTATCGCCCCTTTACCTGCTAGGATCCCAGGGTCAACCTGAATGCTACAATTAGCTTAACAAATTTCACTTTCTCGTTATCTTTTGAGATTTAGGTGAATTTTTTCGTATTATTTTTGATCCTCAACATTCGTTCAACAGCGTTCCGGTAACACTCAATAATGCGCCTTGTCCATTTTTCACTGTTCTCGGTTCCTCCCTCCCCCGCCCTCCTCCCTCTCTCTTCCCCCTCCCTCATCTCCCCCTTCCTGACCCCTCCCCTCCTCTTCCCCCTCTTTCTGGTTATATCATTTCATTAGCGTCTTTCGCATTCAACTGAGAATATAACACTTCACCGGACATGGCTATCATTTCGGTGCCCACCATTTTGGCATTTTGTGGCTGAATTCATAAAAGTCATTGAATTTGTTTTTCAAAAAAAAAAAACGAGCAAAAATTTATTCAATTTTAGAGCCCCGCTGAAGGAAAAATAACGAAGGGGAATGGTGATGAAATGGAGAATATGTACATCTTTGAAGGACGCGACTACAAACAAGATGTTGCTGTTTTGCAAAATATTGTAGGCGAGGAGACAACAGAAGCAGATGATGATATTCGACGAATTGCTCGAAGTAAGGGTTGTGAATATTCGCTGGGGTCCAAGGATTTATAATGTAGATTCTTCTAAAATGACCAAAGTTATCGAGGATATGGGAGCCCTCCAAACGTAGCCCTAAATGCTAAAGCTTTTTTTACCGAAAATCCTACAGATATGGCTGTAAAAACTGTGAATATCCGCAGATTTCGAGGACTTATAATGTAGATTCTCCTAGCATGCCCAGAATTACCGGTAATTTGGGAGTCCTCCAAATATAGCCCTAAATGTTGAAGCTTTTTTTTTCCACTGAAAATCCTGCAGATGCAGCTGTAAAACCGTGAATATCCGCAGAGTCCAAGGATTTATAATGTAGATTCTTCTAACATAGCCGCAACTGTCGAGAATTTGGGAGTTCTTCAAATATAGCCCTAAATGCTGAAGCCTTTTTTTCCTATAAAAACTGTAGATATCCGCAAATGTAGCTGTAAAAACTGTGAATATCCGCAGGTTTTGAGGACTTATAATGTACATTCTCCTAGCATGCCTATAATTGTCGAGAATTTGGAGGTTCTAGAAATGTAGCCCTAAATGTTGGAGTTTTTTTTTCACTGAAAATCCTGCAGATGTGGCTGTAAAAACTGTGAATATCTGCAAGTTTCAAGGACTTATAATGTAGATTCTTCTAACATAGCCGCAACTGTCGAGAATTTGGGAGTTCTTCAAATATAGACCTAAATGCTGAAGCTTTTTTCCCCTGTAAAAACTGTGAATATCCGCAGATGCAGCTGTAAAACTGTGAATATCCACAGGTTTTGAGGACTTATAATGTACATTCTCCTAGCATGCCTATAAATATCGAGAATTTAGGGGTTCTAGAAATGTAACCCTAAATGTTGAAGTTTTTTTTTTACTGGAAATTCTACAGATGTAACTGCAAACGTCAATAGATTTTTAAAGTAGAGCATAGAGACTGGTGAGGCAGCGGTTAGCATGTCGCGTCAGGATGTAAAGGCGAGTGGTTCGAATCCGATTTTCGACCCAAAAAATTTTATTATGGTTAAAATGTTTTTGCCGATTTGCTATGCCTAATTTCATGTTTTCGTGGTGTTTTCATAAAGTGTTTTAGGCCGTTTTTGTTTTAAGGTTGTTTTTTGTTTGTACTTAATATAGTTTTTTTTTTGTCTGTTGTGTTTTTTAATGGCGTTTTCCCTTTATTTGATTACAAATATAATGCTGAATTTCATATATTTTTTTGTAGACCATCCGCCGTCGGGAGCAGTTGAAAGGCGAACGCGTAAACCGTTATCCAAGGAAGAGATTGAGGAGAGGCA